GGTTCATATATAGAATCCTATGAGGTAACCCCAAAAAGGAACTACTATGGGGCCTCTGGGTATAGGTATAGACAAAATTGACTGTAGTTCAAAGGACGGAACTATTCGCTGCACGCCCAGCATTGCAGACTTGCAAACAATAGGGCCCTTGCTGTAAGGGACGTCTAAAGCAAGGCGTGGCTTATCTGCTGAAGCAGTCTCCACTCTAAAACCCTAAACCCTAAACCCTAAACCAAAACCCCAAACCAAAACCCTAAACCTTAAACCCTAAACCCTATAAAGCACGACAGTAAAACACGCCAAGAGTCCCTCCGCCGGGATTTCCAGCGGCTCGCTGATTTTCGGTGGCGGGGGTGGGGGAGGTTGTCCCAGCGATCGCCTTGTAGGTGCAGGATTTTGGGCTTATGTGGGCCAGTTATGGGTGTAGGGGCGGTCCCAACGGCTTTGTAGGTAGTCTACATGCCGTGCGAACTGTGCCGGAGGCGTTCATAAGTCTGTTCTTATAGAGATCTTAAAAAAAAATCTCTGCCTGAGTCGTTGTCTTGCTCCGTACAGTACGCTTTGGGTTTGGGGCAAAACGACTGAGCTCAGCTTCAGAGCTGCTTTCGGATTTTTTGGGCTCGCGGCACAAAAACCGATCGAAAGAGCTTTGCCAGTCTTCCGGGCTGCTTTGATAAGAAAGGGGCCTTAATAATTCGAATAGGGTGTTGGGGGGTTCTTTATTGTATTTATACGTATAATAGACCACCAAACCCTATTCTAATTCTTAAGGCCCCTTTATTACGGAGCTGAGGTTTGGATCAAGACCCAAGCGCTGTGACGGTTGAGCTTCGGGGGCTTTTCGTACCTTAGGGTTTAGGGTTTAGGGTTTAGAGTTCCAGGGTGTTCTAATGTGCGACACACAGCCTGGGCCCTCTACTGCTCTCTTTTTTTCTCTCTCTCTCTCTCTCTCTCTCTCCGGTTCTTGGCTATCCAGATTTTTTAAGGCCAGGACCGGGTGATAAAGACATACATGTTGAGTCAGCATAGGAACGACATGTCGAGGCTCTAACGAGCTTAGCTTGATGGTGATAGGCTACGGCCCACCCCGAGAAACCTTGGCCCAGCGCCTTCCTTGGCTTGCCAATCTCTTGAGTTCTTCAAGTGGGAGTTTCCGAAAATAAGGGGAATGCCTTATTTTGGGGTCCTTATAATAAGGATCCTACTATTTTGGGTACTATATTACGGTCCCCTATTTAATGCCTTATTTTGTTGTCCTTATAATAAGGATCCTACTATTTAGGGCACTATATGAGGGTGCCCTATCTTCGGAAACTCCCCAGTCTCGTCCTTGCATATGGCTCCACATACCGCAATTTTTGCATGGCTCAGAGAGGCGGGCAAGAGGAATTATCACCAGAACCTACTGAGCCCTACTTGTTTTGTAGTTCCTTGGGCCTATGGGGTTCCTGTAAGGGTTCCTTTAAAGGGTTCTATAGGGTTTAGGGTTTAGGGTTCATGGGTAGTTATAAGTGAGGTTATAAGTAGGGTAACTGTAATTATAACCCATATATTAGGGGACTTATAACTCCACTTGTAACTGCCCATGAACCTCCAAGTACTGGACCTTAGCGAGCCCGTAAGATGCCTTCGAAAGCCCATGCCCGTGGTGCAGAACTGAACTACCCACAGGCCCTAAAGTAGTTCCTTTGCGGGCTTCATATACCGAAAAGGAACTACTACTATGGGGCCTATGGGTAGGCATTGAAGACAATGCAGGAGGCCATCACAATGCCCGGCAGGCCCGGAACCGTAAAGGCTTTTCCACACTTACAAATCGCGGCTACTGTTGCGGAAACTCCCCTAAACTATTCCCTAACCTCCCAGGTGCCTACTACATGGGGCCCTAGGGCTCTATAGTACCCTATATAGTAGGTACCTGGGCGGTTAGGGTATTGATAAGGAACTCAAAGCTCTAGCTTGGTCAGCCAAGGCCACGAAGCGGATTTGGGCAGAACGCAAATGCGGAGCTGTCCAGGTCGCGCCCTGTCCACTTCACGCCAAAAGTCCTCCAAAAGGGGTCTTCAAAGACTTGCAAGTTTCAGGGGTTTCTATAAACTATTTTATAAGGCTTCCTGGGATTTTCTATGCAGTAGCACAAACAAAGTCAAGGGACCAACCGCAAAGTCTGGGATTGCGAGCTCGCCGGTCGCCCACAGAGCCCTGTACCCCTCAAGTATGGAAGACTTACATGGAGAAAAGAAGACTAGCCCTTAATAATCCAAGATTAGGAGGGCAAGTTCCTTCACAGGAGGACTCAACCTCAAAGCACAAGAAGTAACCAACTTGCAACGTTCCGGATACCATGTGGTTTTGGAGCTTTCGGGTTTTGGGTTCATGCGCCGTCTGAGTCAAACGCATGGAGCCTGTGGGGCATAGCAGGCAGATGGCTCCAAGGCTTTAGGCCATATCTGAAATTTGAGGGTGCATCTTTCTACGAATTAAGGGTTGCTCCTTCTAAGACATAGGGAACCTGAATCATGAAACCGAAAGCGCTAGGCCCGAAACTGTCTGGTGCTTAGTAGGGAATGGGGGAATGGATCCCTATGATAGTCCCTTAAGGTCCCGTATAGCAGTCCCTATGACCCATTACCCCATTCCCTACTAAGCACCAGACAGGAAAAGGGCGTCTTAGTACGAGTTGAGACCCCCGAGCTTCGAGGCTACTTATAACCCCCACTGATAACTACCCATGAACCCTAAACCCTAAACCCTATAGAACCCTTTAACGGAACCCTTTAAGAACCTCCAAGTAGGCCCAACAAAGGGCATCCTTTTTACGAGTTGAGACCCCCCCAGCTTCCAGGAGTCCCGCCTGCTGAGATGCCAAAGTAACTCCGTTGACCGATCTGATCGCGTCCTCGCAAGCTGAGGGGTTTAGGGGTTTTCGGGTTTAGGGTTGAGGGGTTTAGGGTTGAGGGTTGAGGGGTTCAG